TGTTTGGTCTGTGCTTTTTAAAATTCATTCTGCCAATTTGTGTCTTGTAAGTGGGGGATTACACCATTTACATTCAAAATTCATGTTGATATGGGAGCTACTCTTACAGTCATCATGTTGATTGTTACATAGTTCCTTTTTTTCTTTATTGTGTTATTGTTATATACCTTTTCATTTATGTATGTATGTATGTATGTATGTATGTATGTATTTGTTGGGATGGAGTCACTCTGTCACCCAACCTCTGCCTCTCAAGCTCAAGCGATCCCCCCACCTCAGCCTCTCCAGTAGCTGGGACTATAGGTGCATGTCACCATGCCCAGCTAATTTATGTATTTTTAGTGAAGACGGGGTTTCACCCATGTTGGCCAGGCTGGTCTTGAACTCCTGACCTCAAGTGATCTGCCTGCCTCGGCCTCCTAAAGTGCTGATATTATAGGCATGAGCCACCACACCTGGCCTAGCCCTTTCATTTAGATGTTTAGAACTCCATTGAGCATTTCTTATAGGGCTGGTCTATTGGCGATGGATTCCCTCAGCATTTGCTTTTCTTTGAAAGACTATTTTGCCTTCATTTTTTAAGCTTAGTTTTGTCCTATGCAGAATTTTTGTCTGACAGTTATTCTGTTTAAGGAGACTAAGAGTGGGGCCGAGTCACTATACATCCCACAGTGGGACCCGAATCCCTTCTGGCTTACAAGATTTCAGCTGAGAAGTTACTCTGATAGTTTCTCCCTTATCATTTATTTGATGGTTTTATCTCACTGCTCTTAGAATTGTTGCCTTTGCATTGACTTTAGATAGCCTGATGACCATATGCTTTGGTGATTTCCTTTTTTTAATGAATCTCTCAGGAGTTTTTTGAGCTTCTTGTATTTGGATGTCTAAATCTCTAGCAAGATTAAGAAAGTTTTTCTCAATTATTCCTTCAAGTTTTTTCCTTTTCTTCTCCCCCAAGAACACTCTTGATTCTTAGGTTTGAATGTTTTACACATTCCCATATTTCTTGGAGACTGTTTTTTCATTTCATTCTTTTTTCTTAATTTTTGTCTGATTGATTTAATTTGAAAGCCTTGACTTCTGACTCTGAAATTCTTTCTTCTACTTGGTCTAGTCTGTTATTAAAAACTTTCCACTGCATTTTTAACTTTTTAAATGCATCTTTCATTCCAGAAGTTTTGTTTTTTTTATTTAATATCGACCTCTCTAGAAAATTTTCATTTCTTTCCTAATTTTTTTTTTTTTCAATTTCTTTATGTTGGTTTTCAGCTTTCTCTTGGATCTCATTGAGCAACTTTATAATGCACATTTTGACTTCTTCATCTGGTATGTCAAAGATTTCATTTTGCTTTGGATCCACTGCTGAAGAGTTAGTGTGTACCTGGGGGGAGGTGGTATTGTAAAGCTGTTTTTTCATATTGCTAGAATTATTTTTCTGGTTTCCTCCCATCTGGATAAATGATTTCTTCTTATTATTATTATTGAATTTTATTGAATTTTCTTTTGCTTTGACTGGGTTCTTTTTTCTTTTCCCCTTAAGGATGTGACTGTAATGTGTATAATTTGCAATTGCCAAGCATCAGCTCTGGGTGCTTTCAGTGGTAGTCTCTGTTGAGTTTCTTGGTTATAGAGAATCTGTGTGTGACGGCTTTCTCAGGTGCTGGTTGTAGTAGCAGTATACTTACTATGTGGGAAGGTTCCCTGTCTCCGATAGGGCCAAAATGGCAGAAGTCTCAGGAAGCTTATCTTGTTGCCCTACTTGTACTTGCCCTATCTTGTTGAGAGTAGTGTGCACTACTCTCCTCCCCATCTTTTTTTCACTAGGTTGAATAGTACACCCTTCAGGCCAGTAGGAGGTGCCCATGGGTGAAAACCAGCTGCAGCTGAAGAGGTGGTGGGTGTATGCAGTACACCAGTGATGGACAAAAGTCTCAGCCTTGACAGAGGCAGCTGTGGCGGAGCTCCTAGTGAAATGCACTGAGGTCTTCACTGGGGAAGGGGAGCGAGCCACCTCAGCTTCACAACCAGGCCAGTAGGAAAGAACATCCCTGTCATGCCATCACTGTATTCTGGATATTTAGATCAGACAAGCACCTCTGTCTGAACACTGACATTCCATGTTCAGAGACAGTGGGACTCTGTCTCTCATGAAAGCTTGATTCCAGTACTATGTTAGTTTGGTGAGAGCAGACATTCTTGTTTTGAGAGGAGCATTCAGTTTGTCTTTCACCATCAAGTATAGAGTTAGCTGTAGAATTTTTGTAAATAAAATTTGCAGAATTTATATAAATGTTCAAGAAGCATGTGAAAAAATGTTCAACATCACTAATCATCAGAGAAATGCAAATTAAAACCATGATGATATATTATCTTACGCCAGTCAGAATGGCTGTTATTAAAAAGTCAAAAAATAACATATTGAAAGGGTTTGGAGAAAAGGAAACACTGATAGATTGTTGGTGTGAATATAAATTAGCACAACCTCTATGGAAAACTGTGTAGAGGTTTCTCAAATAACTTAAAATAGCACTACCTTTCAATCCAGTAATCCCACTACTGGATATCTACTCAAAGGAAATTATTATATCAAAAAGATACCTACCTGTACTCATATGTTTATCACAGCATAAGTCACCATTGCAAAGATATGGAATCGACATATGTATTCATCAATGGATGACTGGATAAAGAAAATATGGTGTATTTGTGCACAAAGAAATACTGTTGAGCCATAAAAGGAATGAAATCATATCTTTTACAGCAACACGGATGACACTGGAGGCCATTATCCTTAGTGAAACAACTTAGAGAAAGTCAAATACTACGTGTTATCACTTAAAGTGGGAGCTAAATAATGTGTACACGTGGACATAGAGTATGCAATGATAGACATTGGAGACTGGAGAGGGTGGGAAGGTGAGAAGAGTTTGAAGTATAAGAAATTACTTAATGGGTACAATGTACATTATTCAGGCAATGGTTACACTAAAAGCCCAGACTTCACCACTGTGCACTAGTTCCATGTAACAAAGCTGCATTTGTACCCCTTAAATTTTTGTAGATTAAAAAAAGATACATAATTTCAAAGATGTAGAATTTCCCTCTATTCCTAACTTTCTGAGAGTTTTGTCATAAATGGGTGTTGGATGTTGTTTGCTGCATTTTCTGCATCAATTGATATGACCATGTTATTTTATTTTGCTTTAGCCAGTTGACATGGTAGATTATATTGATTGGTTTTTTTATTATTGAACCAGCCTTGTCTCCCTGGAATACCTACTTAGTATGGTGATAATTCGTCTTACATATTGCCGAATATTGTTTGCAAATGCATTTTTGAGGATTTTGAATGTCAATGCTCATTTAATTCCTCTGTATCCTTGCTGGTTTTCTGTCTAGTTGTTCTACCAATTGTTGAGAGAAAAATGTGCAAGTATCCAACTATAACTGTGGTTTTGTCTATTCTTTCAATTCTATCAGTTTTACTTCACGTATTTTGCAGCTCTGTTGTATCTTAGTGGATTGACCTTTTTATTATATATTATAATATTCTTCTCTGTCTCTGATAATTTTCTTTGCTCTGAAGTCTCCTTTATCTATTATTAATATAGCCACTCCTGCATTATTTTGATTAATGTTTGTGTGATATATCTTTTTCCATCCTTTAGCTTTCAGCATGCCTGTATTGTTATATTTGAGGGGACGTTTTTATTTATATATAAAAAGAGGTGGTATGTTTTAACTCTGCAAATCTATTTCTTTTCATTGGTATATTTCATACTTTTACATTTAATTAATTTCTCGTATGTTTTGGCTTACGTCTGACATTTTATTTTTCTTTCTTTCTTTTTTAATGTTATTTTTAACTGTTTTCCACCTTTTCCTAACTTAACTGACACTATTTTATTTTTTGTTTATTCTGTTTTTCATCTCTCTGTTTTATTTTTCCTTCCTTCCTGTGGCCACTTAAAGATTTTTTAAAATTTCTTTTTGATTTATCAGTAGTAATTTTGATTGAGTCATTTTGTATAACTTTTTAATGATTGCTGTGGGTGACACTTCAGTATAGCGATGTCATCATTTTATTTCATTTATGTCTTATTACCATTCTGCATTTATAATAGGTATGTTAAATATTTTCTCTATAAACATTTAGAATTATATCATTGTTATAATTTTTGCTTCAACTGTCAAAGATAAAATTCAAGAGGAAAAGAAACATCTATTGTATTTACCCACATTTATGCTTAACATGTTTTTTGTTTATTTTGGGGTGTTCTGATATTTATTTTTTCCTCTTTTTAAAAAGTTACTTTTCTGTTTAGAGAGTGGAGTTTAGCCATTCTTTCATGGTAGATCTGCTCATGATAGAATCTCTTATTTTTCCTTCATCTGAGACTGTCTTTGATTGCTAAATGATGCATTTACTGGTATAACGTTCTGAGTGGGTGGTTTTTTTCTTTCAATCACTGGAAACTCTTGTGCCACATTCTAGCCTTCGTGGTCTCTAATAAACAATCCATTGTCTTTCTGATTATTCTTCCCTTACAGGTAATGTGTCAAGATTTTTTCTTTATCTTTAATTTTCAGAAGTTATGATGTGTCTTAGCATGGATATTTTAAATTTTATTGTTGTTCACTCAGCTTCTTGAATCTTAGGTTTATAGCTCTTGCTAAGTGGGAATTTTTCTGCTTTGTCCTGTCTCTCTCCTTTAGGAACTCAAGCGACAGGAATGTTAGATACTTTTTTATGATCTCACAAATCTCTGAGGCTGTGTTCATTTTGGTTTTCATTCTATTTTTTCTCTTTTGTTCAAACTGGATAATTTCTGTTGTTCTGTCTTCCAGCTTGGTTATTCCTTCCTCTGTCCTCTTCATTCTTCCATTGAGCCTGTCTACTGATCTTTTTATTTACACTATTATATTTTTCAATTCTAAAAACTTTGCTGAATTCCAGCACTTTGGGAGGCCAAGGCGTGCAGTTAGAGACCAGGCGTTGGAAACCAGAGTATCCAACAAGCTGATAGGAAGATGTCTTCAGGAAATGCTAAAATTGGGCACCCTGCCCCCAACTTCAAAGCCACAGCTGTTATGCCAGATGGTCAGTTTAAAGATACCAGCCTGTTTGACTACAAAGGAAAATATGTTGTGTTCTTCTTTTACCCTCTTTGACTTCACCTTTGTGTGCCCCACGGAGATCATTGCTTTCAGTGATAGGGCAGAAGAATTTAAGAAACTCAACTGCCAGGTGATTGGTACTTCTGTGGATTCTCTCTTCTGTCACCTGGCATGGATCAACACACCTAAGAAACAAGGAGGACTGGGACCCATGAACATTCCTTTGATATCAGACCCAAAGCGCACCATTGCTCAGGATTATGGGGTCTTAAAGACTGATGAAGGCATCTCATTCAGGGGCCTCTTTATCATTGATGATAAGGGTATTCTTCGGCAGATCACTGTAAGTGACCTCCCTGTTGGCCGCTCTGTGGATGAGACTTTGGGACTAGTTCAGGCCTTCCAGTTCACTGACAAACATGGGGAAGTGTGCCCAGCTGGCTGGAAACCTGGCAGTGATACCATCAAGCCTGATGTCCAAAAGATCAAAGAATATTTCTCCAAACAGAAGTGAGCGGGCTGTTTATACCAGGCTTGCAGTGGGCAGCCATGAGAACAAAACCTCTTTTGTATTTTTTTCCCCCATGAGTAAAACACAAGACTTCAAAAAAAAAAAAAATCTTTGCTGATACTTTCTGTTTCTTATTTAAGAATTTCTATTTTTTCATTTGTTTCAAGCATGTTCGTAATTGCTTATTGAAGCATTTTTACGTGGCTGCTTTAAAATCTTTGTCAGATAATTCTAACAACTCTTCTCAATCTTCTCAATCTTAACATCCGTTGATTTTATTTTTTTCATTTGGTTGGAGATCTTTCTGGTTCCAGGTATGAGAAATATTTTTTGATTGACATATGGGTCCTTGGGGCATAATAGTATAAGACCCTAGATCTTATTTTAACTTTCTGTTTTAGCTGTGTTTTTTTAATATCATTCTGGCAGGAGAAGGGGTGAGGGACATCACCTCATTACTGCCAGGTAGGAATATAAGGCCATTAGTTTTGTTGACATGCAAGCCGGAAACTCCTCATTTCTACTGGGTCTGAATGGAATATCCAGTTCCCTAGTAGGCCTCTACTGATAAGTCCTTGGCTGGGAAATACAAGAGTGCTTCATAACTGGTTCTTATTTGGCCACCATTTATAGGGCAGGAGAAAAGGTGTGACCCCTTGATTGGTGATGAAATGGTTTCTTATCACCTATTGGAAATGAAAGTGTTGACTTCTTCCTTGTAGTTTTCTGACACCACCATGACTAAGAGAGTTGGGAGTTGAGTGTTGTGCCTCATGATTGACTCATGAATGTAGAAATCTAAGTTTCTACTCAGCCTTTGCTGGAATGGATGGGGGTAGGGTAAAGTTTTTTCTGAGTGGTTATTGTCCAAAAGTTTTCTGTTTTGCTAGGCTGCTCTTTTCCTGTCCTTTGGCTAGAAAGAGCAGCCTTTTGTTGGAGACTTTTTGTATGCATGTGCTGACATTTCTCAGTGGTTGGCTCCTTTGGCTCTAATACTGGTATAAATAAGGCAAAAAGGAAACCCAGGGCACTTACCATAGTGTCGTTCGTAGAGTCCTGAAGTTCATAGCTAGACTGCCTTCTATCCAGGTTTCTAAGTCTTTTCATGTTTGTTTTATAGGTAATGTCCAAGATTCTTGGTTGTACTTAGTTAGAAGAAATTGTATCTACTTCATCTTCCCATCCATATATCTTTAAAATAAATGTCTGACCTATTTACTCTCCTGCAATAAAAGTGGTGATTTCTTAAAAACAGGTTATATGAACAACTTATAGGATGTAGATTATGATGACATGAATAGCTTAGAACAGTAGCTCTCAAGCTTAAAGTGTATTCGACCACCTGGAAGGCTTTTTAACACTGATTATGGAGCCCTACTCCCAGGAAGGAATGAGAACTAGCATTTCTAACAAATTCCCAGGTAATACCTGAAGGTGCTGCTTTGATAAACTATTTCAGAGAAATGCTAAATAGTTGACAGATCACTAGCTTTAAATGATATTAATGGCAGATACACTTGCTTTCAGTAAAACAAATAAAAATTTATAATAATTAAACTGGGTGTTAGATCTAAAATATTTAAAAGTAGATACTTAAAAGATGATATCATATTTTTAATGAAATGGGTCTTCCCATTTTCCAGCACTATAGTATATGGCATTTGAGAGGCCGAAAGAGTAGGACACTGAGGGAAATAGTATTCATTTTATTATAAAGGGAAGAATATAGCAAGAAATGAAAGATAAGGTGATCAGTTGTTCTGTGAGCATAAAATAATGCCTACTTTTTGGATCTTAGGCAAGAGAATTTGAATGGATACCTTAAGCCACACTCCGATAGTTGTATGATGTGCAAGATCTTTCTTAAGCCTCAGAGTTGACGTCAGAAAAGTTCTGTTACATTTATCTGAACTAATGATGCCCAACCTGCTAATTACTGTACTTATCATCATAATATACCTTCCTCTAAAGTTCATCTGTATTTTTATTGAGTTAGTGAATAAAAATGATTCTGAAATTAAAACTACTCCCATCAATAGTATGACCATTAGTTTAGATCAAGGTGAACCTAGAAATATTTTCCCCAGGTGATCACTAACTATAAAAAAGAAAAATTAAAATAGTGAAATGTCAGAATGAAGTCTCTCAGACATTATTCTTCTTACAGAAGTTATTATAAATGTTAATAAAGAAACTTTCTTGTGAATATCGATCAGATAATGGTTCCTATTTTGTAGCCAGATACATTAGAGTAATAAAGTATTTCCTTTTCTCTTTTAGCTCTGTTGGTTTAGCAAAAGCAGCTCTAGAAGCAATTAATGGATTCAACCTTTTTGGCAACCAGGTAAAAAACAAGACCCCTAAAATCTTTGATTATTTGAATTGCATGTTTAATTAATTTGACTATTCATTAACAAAGTCATTTTCTTATAATCAGAGAATTCTGAAATTTATGTAGCAGCCCATGCTAGAACTTTTCCTTTGAAAATAATTTGCCAATTAAATTTTAGTTTTCTGATGAGACTATTGCTTAATTTCTTACAAAAAAGAAAAAAGTTTTTGATAAAGAATTCTGATTTCCTTGGTTTGGTAACCTTTCCCTCAAGTCTATTACTCATTTTGTAGAGGCTTTCACATTTTTAGGTATATTTAGCATTGTATATATATTTTTTTCTTGTCAGTTTTCATGTTGGTTGCAATTTAATGTATTTCAATGTACATCTCATGTAGAAGAGAATTTGTGTGATGTGTTTAGCTAGAGAATTGGGAGTTTTGATCCTAGCTTCACCTTCAACTGGCTATAATCAAATGTCTAAAATCTCATTTTCTCTGGAGAGGAAAGAGAAACCCTGAAGGTCACCTTAAGTTTTCATTAGATTTTTAACCAGTTTTTGTACTGGAAAAACTAATCAAGTAACCATGGATTGAGTTGTCAGTGGAAAGGAATAAAATGTAGGAATAGAGGTTACTACTCTGGATCAAGAAGTAGGCTAATTTTCTTTACAGTTTTTATTAAGATTCCTAAGATGGTAAGGTGAAGTGAAGTTTCTAATTGATAATACAATTAATCCTAAGCTACTGAAATGCTAAATCAGTAAAGAAACATTTCAGGAGTTTACACAGTTGTGCACAAAAGTAACATGGTTTTCGTTATGGCACTTATAATACTATTTCTCAAGTCTTGAACTTAAGAAAAGTTTCTAGTTGTAGCATATTAACGCATCCACCACTCTTCTCCTCCTTAGATACACAAGGACTCTTTTCCTTCTTACATACACAAGCACTCTTCTCACCCCAGCTCCCTCTAGAGGATGGATGAGCTCTGTCTATATGAAAGTCATGAGGAATTACCACACACTCTGGATCACACATTTTCATATTCCTGGATGGGTGGGTGAATGGATGGAGGGCTAGATGGACAGACCAACAGACAGATAGATTAGATAGAAAGATAGATAGATTAGATAGATAGATAGATAGATAGATAGATAGATAGATAGATGTAGGAAATAAAATGACACTAAAGAATGGCATTGTGTTAGGGGTCAGGAGACAGGATCACTACATGCACTGTGCTCACTTCCACTAGTTAGTTTGGCTAGTTATTTACCTAAGCCTCAGCTTCCTCATCTAAAAAAATAAAGCTAATAATAATAGGACCTAACTCAGGAGGTTTTCATGCAAATAAAAGTTAACTTAATTAGCATAGTGCTTGGCAGAGATTAAACTTTTAATAAATGCCATCTCTTGTTGCTATCATTTATGAAGTAGCAGTAATACAAAGGAAGGGAAATGAGAGACAGAACTGAAAGCTTTCTAGAGTGTATCTCAAGAAGACTGAGAGGAAGCATGGTTTAAACTAGAGCTGAATTTAAACCAGAGCTGATGTTATCAGCAGTCTGGAAAGGTACATGTCTTGCTAACCTGCTTCTGTGACATAACAAATACTGAGCTGAATAGAGCTGAGTGTCTCTTGGTTGACTCTTACATGGTAGTAGCCAGCTCTTTTTTGCAATTGCATCATCTCCTTTGAAGTACCTGAGTCTTAGTGTATGTTGCGTACATACCTGTATGCACCCCTTCCAATTATGTGTATACTCACACACATACATACAAGCTACAAGCTACATTTCCTAACTCTACCCATCTTTCAGAGCTCTACTTTTCCCAGGAAACTTTCATAGATTGCTCAGCTGTAATTTTAAAACCACCAAATTGCTTTACTCTGCATTTGGATTCTGAGTTATAACTGTATTGCTGATATTGTTCCTCAGCCAGTTTCTCAATCTTGACTACACATTGGAATCATTTGAGGAATTAAAAAAAAATGCTCATATATGAGCTTTACTTCCAGGGATTCTGATTTAATTGGTGTAGGGGGAGGCCTTGGCATTGAGATTTTTTGGAACTCTTCAGGAATTCTAACATACAACCAAGGATGAGAACGACTGCTCTGAGCCAAGTTAATTTTTGACCTTGTTCAGGTCATATCTGTTTCCGGTGGAGCTATGCATCAAATATTTGCTGAATTGGCTACTACTTGATTATTTCAGATAGAAATGTGACCAGATAATGTCTTCTTTCTTTTTTTTTTTTTTTTTGAGACCGAATCTCACTCTGTTGCCCAGGCTGGAGTGCAGTGCCACGATCTCAGCTCACTGTAACCTCTACCTCCCAGATTCAAGTGATTCTCCTGCCTCAGCCTCTCCAGTAGCTGGGACTACCGGTGTGTGTCACCACGCCCAGCTAATTTTTGAATTTTTAGTAGAGACAGGGTTTCACCATGTTAGCCAGGCTGGTCTCGAACTCCTGACCTCAGGTGATCCATCTGCCTTAGCCTTTCAAAGTGCTGGGATTACAGCTGTGAGCCACTGCCCTCAGCTGTGTCTTATTTCTTTAGCCACAAGAATATCACATGTTGCCAGTAAAGCCCCTTCATCTTCCATTTTTGCAAGCTAGTGTCAGTATCCTAGTTTTACAAATTCCCTTTCATCTCTTTTTCTGATATGGAGAATTGCAGAAATATGACTTTGAAAATGTTACTATTCCCAACTCTACAGCAGTTAAATTAATAATGTGCCTACTAAACAGTAGCACATATAGAAGTG